TTTTTAGCTTGTTTTCTTTTTTCTGTATTCAAATCTACATAAGTTTTAAGCCACGGCTTTTGATTAAACTGAAGTGCTCTGTGTATTTGTTTTATTTTGAGTCCGTATTTAATAGCCTGCTTTATCGGTCTATAATGAATGTACCATTCTTTATTATACAGTGTTGTTAAAAGTTTTTTTTGTCTTGATCCGGGTGGTGTGTTATGTTCAGGACAAAGTGGAAGGTCCTTATGTTCGTCGTGTAGTTCTTTTGGATACTCTAGATCAACTTCTAAAATATATCCAACCTCATTATTATCGGAAACATTGAAAAAATGAGGCTTATCAATGTTAGAGACCCACTTAAAATTTTTACATGGTAATGATTGCGTCATCGCCCATCCATATAAATTGTTAACATCAAAGTACATCAAAGTCTTGCTAGGTTCTTTTTCATTATATTCGCAGCCCATATATCGATTGTTAGCTTTTGAATATCTATTACAGCATTGACTAATACTTTCTCGAATACCTTTTTGGATGAATAAGACCATGTCTATATCGGTTAAAAGTTCTAGCTCAATTTTTGTACACTTTAACATAGCATCCCATGTTAATCCAGGAGTAGTATAATAGTGTACTGGGTCGAGTTGATACGCATCCAAACAAGTTTTTCGAAAATTTTCAAAAATATCGGCCAAGAGTACTACGTCAATTTTTAAATATAAATCAGAATACTATCCTAAATCAATGATGTCAAATGCATTCCACACTTTTTGAGCATGCTTATAGTCAGCTTCAGAGATGTTGCTATCTATCAGTTAACTATGAAAATCTTCGATAGGTGGTAATTAAGTCTGTTTTAATCTTTCAAAACTGTTAACATACTCATATGGAAAAACTTCTTTTCTCTTCAATAATTCTATTTATGTTTTTGTATATTTATCTATCTTGAATTCATGCTCTACGATATTTAGTTTGGTTAAATATGAAGCCAGTTTTTCGAGAGATGATAGCATAAAACGAAACGAATCAATAAATCCAAAATTTATAGTACTACCGTCCACGTGTTTTGTGAAAGCTATATATCTTTTCTTGTTTTCAGCTAAAACAGTCACATTTCCCTCAAGATCAGAGCTAGTAGCTATTTCTTTTATTATAAAATGAGAATCATATCCAGTAAGGTTATGGAAGACGACTGGTATAAAATAAGGATTCTTATAATTTAAATTACAGGATGCGTGAGCAGTACCCCTAAATCGGCCCATCAAATGACAATGATCTCTAACTCTTGTTTCATCACGTTGAAAATATTTTCTACAAATATGACACACTTTGCTCATCTTGAAATCCATTTGATTACGCCATGAAAGATTCATTTCTATTGCATTCTTATATATTTGATTCATTTCATCTAACAAAATTTGAAATTGTTTGATAATCCATTGTGCGGGTGATTGTTCTTCATTCAGTTTTTTTCTGTACATCTTAAAGACTGATTTGGAATCATCATAACTACATTTTATATAAAGCTCCACACTAAAGGCTTCATGATCTTGGAAGGATCGTCCATTATTTACTGGTTTCAATAAGCACTCTAAATCAGCATAGATAATAAACGGAACCATTTCTTTCGATCATAATGATTAAATTTCCGAAGAGGAAAATTAGGTAGATTAACTCTATATTTATTTAATTTTAAACAATCTGTCTCATGAATATTCAATTTTTCTTTATTATTAAAATTGTGGAGACAGCGTTAACATAGATAAATTTGTGCAGTATGTTTCGTTACTTGACTTCTAACAAGAGCAGATAAGTTTTTAATCCATACATAGTGGAATTTTAATTTGAAATTATCATTGTTATTTGATCTATTAGATTTTTCTGTTTCATTCTCATCAATATAATCGCTTTGTAGTAACAAACGATTTACATGCTTATCTTGTTTTAAAGTTGATAGATAATATGGTGAGACTTCGAATTTAAAACCGTATTTTTTTAGTATGTATAGATTTATTGAAATTAATTTTTTAAATTTAGGAATATTCTTTACCTCAACAGGAAAGTTTATATCATTTAATTTCAATTCATTTGCAAAGGGCATATAATTTTGAACTCTTTCGCTATGAAACCTAGCTGGATGTAGACAGGCAAGCACAGCCTATTTAAAACATTCATCATCCGTATTGTAACGGTCCAGTCTGACTTGTCTCTTATTTCCTTCTGCAAATTAGCAACCCGTCATACACAAGACAATCAAAGAAAAGCGGTAATGGAGCGAAGGCGCTTTTCTCACATATATGCAAATGTGTTAGGGCAACTCTGCGAAAACATTACCATATAAGGAGCGTGACGTCACGACCGTGGGAAATATATTTGTCGCTCGAACACTATGGCGCGAAGATATAAACGTAGGCTCGATACTTTCCGGACAGACCTCGTATCTGGTTAAAACTAAACTAATTTTTTATTACGAAAATTAATGTCAATTTTTCAATTTTTCACCTATTCAAAATAGTGGTTGCAACTTCCAAAAGTCAAACATTCCAGAATTTGTTCGACTTGTTATAAAGATTATTAACCACATCCTTTTACTAACAAATTTCATTAGGAGAAAAGTTAATTAAAAAAATTGTTTTTAGGAGTCAACATTGAGGGTGCATTTCACCCCTTAAAATTGGTATTAAAATATTTTTACTAAAATAATATCTTCATAGCAGTAAAACTTAAAAAATTCGCTTTTGAACTATTTCAATATCTAAAGTACTAATTTTCATTAATAGGGTGGCTTTACGCTCTAAAAATATCTTATTAAAAATGCAAAAAAACATATTCTTTATTTTTCTATTTTCTCTAGAATCATAAAAATTTGGTTATAATTACACTATTTTTTAAGTTTTTTAATGTAGAAAATATCAAATTTTCAATTTTTCAAGTTTTCACGTATCCAAAATAGGGATTGCAACAGCAAACAATGAAACAAACTAGAATTTGTAGACTTTTTATAAAGATTATTTCCCACTTGGTTTTACTAAAATATATTGATGAACTCTGAGGGTGGTTTTTACTCCTTAAATATGTTTGTCTGATAGAAAAAAAACGTAACTCTTATTTTTTAACGTACAACAACATATATAAGAATTATCAGAATCGATGTCTTCGGTTAAGGTACTTTTCTTGTAAGTTCCGTTTGGACAACCCAACCCATACTGTATAGTAACGTAGCTTGACTTGAAAGCATAACGGATTTTCTCGTATGAAAACTTGATGTTATCTATACATATTATTTATCTGATTTTATCTGAAATTTATTTAGGTGGAAGGTATAAGCGTTAGTATTATTTGCAGGCTATATAAAATTGTTTTAAGTCCAAATAATTGTTTGGTAAACTCTCCATTATTCAACAAGTATACTTAATTCGTCAATTTTCCCATAATGAACCCGAAGTTTGAGTTCACTACGATCATTCAATTATACTGTACTATAATTACTAAGATAATTCATCACATAATCTGAAAATATTTAGTTAAAAAATATAGTTGGTTTAATAAAATATTAACTGAATTCGTATGGTCCCACAACTTATTCCGCTCCATGCTCTTACCTTTATTATTTACATATTTTAAGTGATATTTATTTGTTATCCATTTTAAAAAGGGTGACAATTTATCGATATGAAGATACGATATAATAATCTTATTTTTAAGAATATTATTAATATAGTTTTTTATATACACTATAATTTTGAGATTGTAATAAATAAGAAAACAATGTCTTCATGAATTTCATCGAGCCAACTTTGGAAATTTTTTTACTTTTTTTAAATAATTTTTTTAAATAGATTTAAAAAACTATTAATGAATTTGTAACATTCTGTGGTTATTGGGTTCGAAATTACAAACCAAACCTAAAATCTAAAGTTTACTATATACAGTGTTTTAAAGTATTGTAGGATAGATGGACACTTTATATAATGTTAACTCTCAGCATTTTTATTTTGATTCATATATCAATTATGGTCAACGTAGATATTGTTGGAAATTATCCTGAAAAATATAAAAAACTATATACTTATTTTCAATATTTTGTATAAACTATAAATTTCAAGGATTTTAAGCGGAAAAAAAAAATTTTTACATATACATGCGCTGTTTGATAACAATATCATTTAAATTTATTTAACGTTATTTCATTATCAATATCAATTGGAAGCTGATTGGTGTTGGATATCATTAGTTTAAAATAAAAGTTCGGTTCATATTTTGGTGAAAATAACTATAATATAGTTTTTTTTAATTTCTATTTATTCTTCACATAATATATATTTAAATATACTTAATATATTTACTTCTACGACTCGATATTACACACGTCACTGACTTATTTAAAGTGAATGTTACCAAAAAGTTCTGAATTGTAGTACTGCACTGAACTTATCAAATTTAATATCTGATTTGAATATTTTGAAAAGAAGCATAAATTACTGAATTATTTATCCTTAATCATGTATATTGTATTATAATATGTTATATAGTTAATTCTTTAGATATCAGAATAACCGCGCATGCAAAAACTAACACGTACCCGTCCACATACACATGTCCGCGCGTGCGCGCGAACTTCTATGTTGCATAATATTAAAAATTTATGAAATAAAAAATGATATTGGTAAAATAATTTATCCCTTATTGAATCTTTGACAGAAATTTAATATCTGTAAAAAGTTTTATATTTAGAGTTAAGTAAACAGCTGTGACCTTGAAGAATAGTAAGTATTTTGTTTAAAAAAATTTTAGATTTTACAAAAACTTTTTGACTCATAAATGTTATTAAGCTATATATATGTGTGTGTGTGTGTGTGTGTGTGTGTGTATGTACTTATCATTAAAAAAATAAAAATTTAAAACGAAACATTTTTGATTCTTGCAATACTGCATCCCCTCTTTGGGCCCTGATGGTTATTTTCAAGAGGCCCATCCATACTTTCTGTCAGTGAGTAATACGGTCTTAATGAGCACGTCCGGTGGTTCATCAAAGAGAGAATTTGAAAACAGAGTTGAATTATCATAAAATTGTGCTATATTATTTTAAATAATAAAAGATAAAATAATTAATTATCAGTTGTTTATAGTGCAGAATATTGTTTTTTAGACGCAAGTTGATATAATTTTACTGTAAAAGTATTTTCTACCAATTCACTATGAAAATAATTGTATTTTTTCTAGCTGTTAGCAATTTACTCATATCAGGTCAGTATCTTATTTATTTTTATAAGTTCAATAAAATAATCTAACGCTTCAAATTAGAAGCAAAAGTTATTTCATACGAGATGTCTAACGTAGTAACGTTTTTATTACAGTCGTAAAAATGTTAATTCTAATTTTATTTATATAACATTTTTTTCTTCGATTTCATTTGAAAATATCGTACATATCTGATATCAATATACTATAATGATATAATAAATCATTCTCAATGAATTTCTCATTTACTCAGAATACATAATGCTATATCACAACTGCATAAACATTTATCGTATATTAACATCTTCTTGAAGGAATGATATAACAACAAAAATATTTTTAGTCAAAGTACCGTGAAAAAATATTTGTATGACTTATGTATGGAATAATGAGATAAAATTAGAGAAATTCTTTATCCAATGTATATGCCAACAAGAATATATGCAGATTGTATTCTAATGCGCGTTCAATTTAGCAGTGACGCTTTTTTGATTTTTCTGTAAAAAGTGAGAGAAATGGCTACTATAAAGTTAATAATATTTAATTTATTATGTTCTTATATACATAGTTTAAAAAATTTTTTAAACAACATTACAGTATTTTTATTTTTATTTATTTTGAAGTAATCATTGTATTTTAATCACTCTTCGTTTTGAAGTTTATATTTGACTAATTTTAAAGAAAACAATTTCATATACATATATTAGACTATAGACTAACAATGTATTTTTTGGGATATATGTATATGAGTGTGCATGCATGTGTGTATGTGCGCGGATGCACGTTCATGTAAACGTTTCACTAATGTCTTTTTTTGAAAATTAAAATAATATTGCGGAATATTAATAATTATAGTTATTTTAAATTTATTAATATTATTAATATATGTAATAATACGCTATTATATTACTTATAAATTAAATATAAATCAGAATGAGGAGACAAATAATACTATAGAACATTTATAATTATGAATAAATTTTCATTAGCCATGATGATACAATTTTTATTAAACAATCAACCGAAAATATACATGATTGAATATTATGCTGTATTTGGTATTTCAAAATATATTGAAAATGTGTCAGTGATTAATACCGATATAGTTTGTATAATGAAATTATAATATCTATTGTTGACAAGAATTTACAAACATTGATAGAAACGTTAAGTTCCAATTGATATAACTTTTAATTATCAAAATATCAATTCTTTTATACATTATTACAAATATAAATAATTATAATTACATTGTGATAATCAGTAATATTTATAATAATACAAAATATTATTAAGAAATTATATTACAATAATATATTCTGTTCCCTAGCACAATCCTTTCCGATTTGGAAAACTTTGATTAGATATATTTATCTGATATTTTATTTCACTTTTTGTATTCTAGTAATTTATATAGTTACGTGTCTTGTACTCGTATATTCAATACTACTACATAGAAATTTTTTTAAAACGAATTTTTTAAATGGTTGACCTTTAAATTTCATTATGAAGAAACATAATAGAAAATCTGTATTTTTTCGTTTTCTATGATATTATATTTTTCTACTTATTATAGAAAGTGAGAAACGAATGAGGTTGTACTTTTGCCAAAACTGTAAGCATGGATATCTTATAAATCGTTAGTTTTCCACGAATATAGTCATGGAAATTCAGTGGGACTTAATGAATAAAATTTATTAAAAATATTCACATGACTCGTAATACGAAATAGGATATTACAATGGAACAAAAACTTTGTTTTTGCTTCTGGAAAAGGACAGTTTATTTAATTACAATTTTTTATATGGCAATAAAATTAAAGCTCATCAAGAGATAAGTAATGTATTGCCAAATCGTTCCAAATTAATGAAAATTGAAGAAAGTATGATATTTTAAAGATAGTTATAAAAGTTAACTGCAATACATTCAGTTAAATAAAAAGAACTAATAGCAAATAGACTTCATCCTCTGATTATACAGACAGTATATATGAGCAAATCCCCATTACTTTTAAAATTCGTGTTCCTTGATGATAACTGCTCTCCAGAAAGGGGTAATACAATTCTGAAATAAGCTTTCTATAGAAGAAATTGTGAAAAATATACTCCACAAGATTAATTTGAGGTATCTATTGTAGTTTCGAAGCTATAAGACGAAAACGTGTGATATTTCAAAGAACTCGCAGTGTAACTCGACATAAAAATTTTTTTTTATTGTTAAAGAAAAAAATAATTCTTAAGCAAATCCCTCCAAAAGTTTTTTGTGGGTACATTTTGACTTATATTACATAAAAAAATATGTTTCAATCATGTGCCTTCATTAGGCAAAAAATAATCCATGCAAGAAGGAGTGTAACGCATTTTTTTCTAAATCAAAAAATTCAATTTATTTATTTTTATATGGAAATAAGTTTTCTCTAAATCATATTTGAATAAGTGAAACTTATTCTACTTGGAAATTGCAATCTAAGAAGATTCTTTTTAGAAGTGTGCCTTGTGAATATTCTGAGCTATGAGCTCTTATAGTTAAAGAGTTCACTGCGCCCCTCGCATTGAAATTTGACATTTTCTGCTGGCACACTAAAAATACCTTGCCGATTGGCCTGTATCCCCAGGCCAAATTTTGTACACATTATTTATCAATGTTTTAAATAATGCTTATGATGGAGATTCATTGTATTGACTCGTTATAGGTCAATAAAAAACTTAAAAAATCCAATATCAATATAATATACCATTTATCAGTTTATATGATCTTATTAACGCGTCCATTCATTAAATTTCAAGAATTCAAGTTATAACTCGCTATCAAAACACACGTACACTGATATATGTAAATAAACATCGGAAGTTTTGCTGAGTCTCGGGAAGTAAGGCACATGTAATCGTATCAAGCGCCAGCGCAGTTACAATTTGACTGTTTAATGGATTTCGTCAGTGTAGAAAAGGAAAAGAAAATATTAAAGCGTAACAAAGTGAATGCCAGAAGAGACATTGAAAGGCGAAAGCGGCAAAAACGTTTTGACGACCTTTCGCGAATTTAATAGAAAAAAAAGCAAGAAAAACTTTAGGTTGGACAGAGTAGTAGTATAGCAATGTTTGTTCCAGCACACCTGCGGGGGGTCCATAACCCTTTGGCCCCACCCTGACTTAACCCTTTCATGTTAGTAATAATTATTATTATTGTTAACAATTATTATTAACAATATTCGTGGGGGGGTCCCTGGTTTAACCCTTTAATTCCCTGGCCTAACCCTTCCATGTTAATTATTATTAATGTTAATAATTGTTTATAATTTTTGAGGATGGTTTCTAGGGCTCCCAGTCCCTAGGGACCCTATACCTAGTGCTTTCAGTCTAATTAAATTTAAATATATTTTTTTTCAAGAGAAGTAGTGATCGCTTAACATAATTTTTTTAGATAGTATCCTTTTCTTATTAGAACGCTTACCAGTCTAATCGCTATATTCACTGATCTTTCGATTGTAATAATAATTATTAATAGTAGACAATTTTCTTCAGACAACAATATTTCTTTCAAATTCTTCCCGATGTCATTCGCGCAAAAATGGCTTTCTCATATTCAATATTCAGTTTACTTTTATTTTCAATAAGTTGAGCTTCCAAAACTTTGCCAATCAATAATTGTTTTCTAATGCCTACTTAATGCACCTTTTTTTCAATTTCTTTCACGTCGTTCAAAATGTTTTCCTTTTCTTTACTTTTTTGTAATGTTCTATAATATTAGATTTTCCACTTTTCTCGCTGTTTAGTCTTATTTCCAATACATAATTTCAATTTGTCATTTTTTCTGCATAACCTCCTTTCCCTATTTTTTGCCAACCACAAAGATTTTTCTAATCTCTTAATTTTTAATTTTGCTTGTTCCAGATAATCATATACATGCCCTTTCTGACTATCATTGCCCTCAGTCAAAGCAACTTTGAAATGAGGTGATAAAATAATACCTGTAAAACTTCCATTGTTTACTGTGTCGTTGTCAGAACCACGGGAATTTGAGTCGTCATTAGCTGTGCTGTCAAGGCGCGTTCGCTTCAGTGGAATTTCTTTATGTACAGTTTTTAATTTCATTTTTCGGGGTGTACTGTAATCGGCTGACTGTTTAGCTCCAAGTCGGCTACTTCGTCTCGCAATATCTTCATGTTTACTGCTGCTATCAGCAATTACTTCATTGACCAGTATATCAGATTGCTTAGAAATTATAAAAATATCTACATTTTTCACCCTAAAATACGAATAAACATAACATGAGAATAATTATGTAATAATTAATTAATTGTTCAGTACATTTTGCACTATTTTTTAATGTTCACTTTTGCAATATTTTTACTTACTGTCCAGTAATATAGCAATGTATGTTCCAGCACATCTGCGGGGGTCCGTAACCCTTTGGCCCCCCCCCCCTATAATTTTTAAGGATAGTTTCTAGGGTTCCTAGTCCCTAGGGACCCTATACCTAGTGCTTTCAGTCTAATTAAATTTAAATATATTTTTTTTAAAGTTATAAATATATATTATTGACAATTTACTTGCTACATTGAAAATGAATCGAGTAGAAAATAGCTACGATTTTTGAAAAAAATGAAGAGACAGACCGGAGAATCGAACCGGAGTCCTCTGGGTTGGCAGGCTAGCGCTCTACCACTAGAGCCAATGCCACATATACCTTAGAGGATGCATATTGTGTATATTAGCTACACACGCATACATTTGGTATAGGGCCTGAGCGTGCGGGGGGGGGCGCATGCTTTCTATAGTTCTAACTTGAGGATGCGTGCTCTCTCTCTCTCCCTCTCTCTAGCTCTGACTCAGCGTAGACCACAGCGTGCGGAGGAGAAGGGGTGCGCATGCTGTCTATAGTTCTGGCCTGATGGGGATGCTCTACTATAGTAGTAAACGTATGCTCTCTCTCTAGCTCTGACTCAGCGTGGACCACAGAGCGAGGAAGAGGGGAGCGCATGAGCAGCTATGCTTACTAACTACCCT